TCGAAACGGCATGTAGATGAACAGTGCTCAAACTTCGTTTCCGCTTCTCGCAGGCATCTTCGAAGTGACCCAGGCGTCGACAGTAGTGACACTTGGCTTGTCTAGCCGGGCACTCGTTACGGGAGTGCGCTTGACGGCCGCAGAATCTGCAGTTCTTGCTGCCTTCTCTCGGCGACGACGCCGAGTCTCGCTTGGGAGACGTCTTGGGGGCCGGTTTCCTTCCTTTCTTCACACGTGCTTCATCCAGCTTGAGCTGCTCCGGTGCGACGGCAGCTGTCTCGTCCCGAAAAACGGTCGCCCGCGCCTTGACGGCGTCTTCGTGGATGCGTGCTTGTAGCCGGGCCTCGGCCATGGTGAGGGTCGGACAGCGGCAGAGCTTGTCAGAGAGTCTCGAGTCGAGAAGTCCTACGACGAAGCGGTCTCTAACGAGCCTGTCCTCGACCTCTGTGGACGGATAGTTGCACTTGCGGACGAGTGCTCGAAGGGCCGTGTAAAAACTGTCGACGGTTTCCCCTCGTTCCTGGACCCGCCGGTGAAAAAGCACGCTCTCGTACACTCCGTTCGGTGGATGTACGAAGTGCGCCTTGAACTTGTCTGTTACCGCAGCGAAGGACCGCCATTCCTCTGCGGTGAGGCCTAACGTCTCAAGAACACGCCGCGCCTCTTCGGATCCCATAGTGTACAGTAACGTCCGCACCTGAACTTCGTCCGACGCTTGGTAGAGGCCTGACGCAAAGCTGAAGTCTTCGAATCGTAGAAACCATTGCGGCCACTTGTCGGGGTTTGCGAAGTCGAATTTGGGCGGTGGAACCAAGCTCGGGAGTGAGACGAAGGGGGCGGTGGCGGCGGCAGCTTCCGTTGTTCTCTCCTGCGACATGACTTGGAACGCAGCGACGGTGACGAGAAGACGGAAAGCGTAGCAGCGTGCGACGCAGAGACGACGAGAGGCATGGCTAGCTGTGAGCATAGCTGCAGCGAGGAGGACTTCAGACCGGGAGGCCGGCCACTTCTGACACCATGTTGTGACCGTGGGCGTCCGAGTGCGACCACATGGTCGCCAGGCAGAAGGAACACAACCACCCCGCGTGACAGCTCGTCAAAAAGTGCCTTTAATCGTAAATGAACAACCGGAAGAAGCTTCGCTTCCGGTAAGCCCGCAGCACAACACATGTGGTGCCATCTATTGCCAGATGTCCTCACTACAGGTGCAGGCGAGCTGGTGAGTGTTAACCATGTTGAATAAACCTGAAACTGGGGCAGAAGTAAACACATAATCCGAAGGAACAGAAAAGGGCAGGACGACGTCTCAAATTGAGACGTCGTCCTATCCTTTTTTGTTTTTTCGACTTATGTGTTCATTTCTGCCCGTCTCAGGTTTATTCAACACGATTCCGCAGAGTGTCAACTTCTGTTTACCAAAGCTTCAGATGGTTTCGCATGATGATGAACGCCGAGCATCTGCTATGCGCCGTTACTAAGAGTTAGTGAAGGATAGGAATTACAAATTCCCAGAAATTCATTATATCACGCCAGGGACTAAAAACATCACTTATCCGCCGCCATGAAGTGTGTCTTCCCAAGTTCACGGGAGAGTTTTATTTAGCCTACCATGAGCTCCTGGAGACGGTATGTGCTTGAACTACGCTCGGACAGATTAGAGACGCTTAGTTTCTAATCTGTCACTCATCCTCCTATCCTCCTGAGAGCGAAACTCATCCTCCTCAGAGCGAAACTAGCTGCCGCACATTGGACATCCTTTGAATTATTGTTTGTCGTCCAGCTTGCTTTCAAAATCCTCGGAACTTTTTATGGTCGCATTGTGTTTTGGAAAAATTTAAGTTCAGGCGTTGGTAAGGCGATGCGCGACAAGGGGGGGGGGGGGGGGGGGGGGGGGGCAAAAATGTAAAAACTGCTGGCGGTCCGCTGACTGAGCACAGTTAAAAAACTGCTAGCAAGGCAGCTTATGCCCCGGAGCCCACACCTTGAATGTATAGCTCGTTTCTACTAGTACTTCGAAAGTTGGAAAGATGGACAAATCACTTAAATATGGACCAAGGAGCAAAGATATTGGCCTTGAGGGGTTGTTTCCAAATGACAAAAACTTTTTTTTTATGTTAAAGCGCCCTTTAGAAGTTTGTTTTTAAGGCTAATTCTCGTTTTCTGGAAACTTATTTTCATATTTCTTTTAGGAAGCTTTTAAGACAAGCCTTTATTCTTGTCAATATGACATATTGAAGTTTTTAAATGAAACACAAATACCCCGGTTGGAAGTGCTGAGCATTCATCCACTAACCGGTTCACCGTTGTACCGCTTCGCAGCTTTAGTGGATGTCACCCGCAGCTGTCTGTAGCGCACAGGCGTTGTCGCATCTCATTATATAGGGAGTACAGACCGACGTACCTTGAGCGTCCTTTCCCCTGTACTTCACTTTAAACTCTTTCCTTTTGGACGCCTCTCCCTTTGTCGCTTCTGTCATCACATTTCGATACCCCTGAGCAGAGAGTCTGTGGAGCCATCCGTCCTTCGCTGCTTTAGCAGATGCCTTCGTTGCCCTAGTGCGTCCGTTGCGCCCAAGAAATGGTGATCATAAATGTTGTTTGATGAACTTTTGAAAAAGGTATAGTCTCCACTGAGCAACGCAATCGTCCAACAAGAAGGCAATATCAATAAACTCGTCTACAAATTTTTTTTAAAGATTTTTCTTATTGATTGCCGACGAGAGGAGCGCTGAAGGGGCACTAGATGGCCATGTGGTTTTCAAGCGACGAGCTTGCACAAACCGACGGAACTGGATTTTTTTAGTCATGCCCTGACGTGCCGTACAGGCTCACTTGCACTCTTAAAAAAAAGAGTCGCTATGACTCTCTTTGGGGGTATTGGCGCGCCGCAGAATCGACTCCAGTTTGTAGAGTCCCTCGACTCTTTTTTTAAAGAGAGTCGCCACGACTCCCTGTGGTGGGTCTTTGCGCGCTACAGATTTAACTCCTACACGACTCCAGTTTGTAGTCACTTGACTCTTATTTAAAGAGTCCCACGACTCTTATCCCACTGGAGTCATGGTAGTGTATGGGCGACTCCAGGTGACGTAGTCAACTGCGACTCTTTAACGACTCTTATCCAACGGAGAAAAAGAGTCACACGACTCCTTCCTGGTAATCCCCGTGACTCTGTAACAAGAGTTGTCAGGACCCTCCTTTTATGAAGAGTCCCCCGACTCCTATCGCAAAAGAGCCATGGGAGTGAGTGAGCGACTCTCCGAAAGGTAGTCAGTGCTGACTCTCACTTTGTCTGGAGTATAGCAGCCCTAGTCAAGTTTCAGTTGGTTGAACAAAGGGAGGCATTGTGATCGTTAGGAGACTTCTTGCCTCCCGCGAGGTTCAACTTGAATTTCCCTAAAACAGGGGTAGTAACATCAACTGTGTAAAAGTGTAGAAGTTGAAATGAAAACTTCGATTCCACCTAAAAGAAGCAGTAACATCAATTGTCTGCAAGTGTAAACGTCGAAATGCAGAACTGATATCTTACAATTTCCTGTAATGAAACATGGAAAAATGAACGATGATGGTCTTAACGATGCTGAACTGAGTGCTGCTCTAAAATTTATCATGAAACATAACAGAAGCTTTCAGGACAACATTGTTTTGTTACATTGGAATTTGCACACAACAACAAAAAAAAAGAGTAAAAATTTTTTTTTAATCGGCAGCTTAACTTTCTATTAGTTTGATTATACTTATCATTTACAATAGGTTGTATATCTTTTTTATCACGTGTCTAGACTATTGGCAAGAGATGGTGTGAACGAGCATGTTCTGTTGCTTCATGCCTGCTTTGAGTGGACAGGTGGGTGGCAATAAATTGCAGGAATCTTCAAATTTAACAATAAAGATAGCTGTTTTCTCTCAGCTCATATCACTGCCATTTGTGCAAATGCAACTTCATGAGTCCTACCATGGAGGTACTGCAAAACAAGCCATAAGTATTTAAAACAATTACTTTATTAGAAACTAATGTGATACATATTGGCTCAAAAGCCTGTTTCGGCTTATAACAGGGGTTTTATCACAATAATTAAACAAATAACATCATAAAAAATAATACTAATACACAAAACTGGTATAACTATTAGACAACGAAAATAAATTACAATGACAAGTTCTGTAAAGGCTTGCTTTGCCTGCTTGGTGTTGAGGATTAAAGGGGCCCTCCGGAGCGTTCTGCGATGGTCTATATATGGCGGTAACTCAATCTATGGGTCCTAAGGATCCTAAAAATCGTAAAATTACAGTCATGCGCGGCGGATTTCCCTATTAAAATTGCTATCAAAGTCCCCGGCACGCCCCCCTTTCTGAGATGACCCCGGAAAACGGGAGGGGCATCTCTTTACGCATCAGCCAATGGCAATCGAAGGATTCCAGTGTCACTGCGCGTCACCGACCGCCGACCCGCGGAGGAATCTCTCCAACGCGCGGACCGTCGTCAAGGGGCCCGGACCAAAGTTGCCCGGACTTTGTGCTCAGCATTCGTCGTTCGTCGCATCCCACGGTCGCGCTATGGACCTTTCGGACCTAACGTCTCTAGAGCTCGAAATCCTGGAACGGACAGCTGACATGGGTGCCATATCCTACGATTCGACCCCGATGCGCGACGTCGACGAACGCAGCGCCGCGGGCACCGACTGTGGCAACGACGAACGGCCGCGCCGCGGTGAAGCGAGTCCGCAAGAGCTGGAAGACGCACCCGACGATGGAACCGGGCGGCTTGGGAACACGGACTGGTACGTGGTGCGCTCCATTATACCCCGCTTTAATGGGTAATTGATGCGTGTTTTCTGCGAAGGTGTCTATGTGGTTCCTGCGCGCCGATGGAGACCGTCGTCGAGTGCGTCTGCTGCCGCGAATACCCGGCCGTCGCACGGAAGCAGCAGGGCCGGCAGGGCTGCGTAACGGGCCACCCGGACTTCGAGGCCCTGTGCCTCAACCCTGAGGTGTTGAGGTTGGCCTACCTCAACATGCGGCACTACGGGCAGCAAGGGATGGGCGCAAGTGCCAGCGAGTGAGTACGATGTCATGCTTTGCGCGTGAGCAAACTCACCATGTCTCGGTGAGGACCGTGCCCTCGGCAACTACGTTCACTGTCCGATTCACAGCGTACATACGTACTTGTAATAACTTGTTGTTAGGCTAGATGAACGTTTAGCACCATCCTGGGAAGCGGTCGATGAATTGTTTGTGTTGCCGATAGTGAAATTAATCATAACCCCCACTGTCCAGGCGCAATATAGCGCTCCAGGGAGGCTTTCAAGAGACTAAATGAGAAGCAGCCTGCCTAGTTACCACCCAGTCATTTGTTCAATACAGAAACACGGACACTTCCAACTGCTGTCCCACTATAAACTACACATATTCTTATATGTTCTAAACGAACTGTTCTGACGAGACCGCCCTTTTCGAGCGTTACACTTCTTCCCGTTAGGCCAGATCATGGAGAGCTATTTTTCCTTGCATTTACGGTTATCAGTTTAGATATGTCATTTTCTTGCTCTGTTTAGATGCAATGTTATGCAACAATAGCACTATGAAATATATGACAGTCACATGGCCTCGTCTCTAGTCGAGACGGCCTCGTCTCGTCGAGAGCAATAGAAGGCGACACCTTGGATGTACATATGCTTTGGCGTTGTCCCCATGCCCAATGCTCCCTTACCTCCCTCTTTTTCACCCTTCTCGACCCTCTGACTAGGCAGGCTGGCTCACCCCCCCCCCCCCCCCCCCCAGCTTCAACTCGTTGATACACTACTGCTCCTACTGGTACAGCATGTCCATGCTGTACCGGGTGAGCACTGGTGGCCCCAATCAAGCACCGGACTATGGTGTAACTAATAAAGGTTCCCTCTCTCTCTCTTTCTCTGTCTCTCAAGAGAGCAGTGGATATCCCACACGTTTGGCTTTGGCGCAAACGACAAAGATAACGCAGTCCGTGTCAGAAACCCAAGTCTGGCTTGCAGCTTGCTCAAATGGTGTCTCTGAACAGAGCCGAATTAGCGCCTGAAGCCCCTCTACAAGCTCGCAGAGAGCAGGTGGCCGCAAAGGCTTGAAAGTCCTACTTTGTCAACGAGAGGCGAAGATTAACTCACTCCCGAGATTGTATTCGTCTCATGCAGTTTCCTTGCTTTTCTGTCTTAGCATAACTCAACAAAGGGTGAAAGCTACTGCCCTTGTGGGCCAGTCTGAGCGACGGAGCTAAGCACGTGCCAAAATTCCACAGGAGGAGTACTTGAAGACATTACGTTGTCACATGCATTGTTCTTACACGCCCCGATTGGCTTGCTGATGCCGTAGCTTTTGCATTTTCCCAAGTTCGGAAAAACGAAGAATTACTGTTTCCAGATTCTTTCCTGCTAGCTTCATGGACTGGACCAGCACTATGCTACAGAACAACACTTTTGAAGCAACAAATAAATAAGCACGAAGTTATCATATTGACGCAGTAATTCGCAACCGTGTTGGGGAAGGATGCTCCAGTCACTTTGTTTCTCAGAGCTAAGAGTTCAGAAAACTGCATACACCTACTTTATCTTGCATGCACCAATGCCTTGTTGCTATCTTAAAAATGAGCTTAGCTATGCCAGCTAAGTTGATGCTGGGCAATCTTTTTGAGAAGAAACAAACACCAACTGCTTCAAGTGCACTGTCAACGTCGACAGTACAGTTGGCACCTTCAGCTCAGACATCCTCGTTTTTTTACCTGGTCTAGTCTCTGCGTGTGACCTTCAAGCCCATCAAAACAGGGGCCGATATCAAAATGACGTAAATCAAAATGTAAAGGCCAAACATTGAAACGTCGAAAAATAAAATGCCGAACAGCAAAACGCCGAAAGGTGAGAATGCGTACATATCTGATCGCCATATTTGGTACGGTATTGGCGGATGCTAGCTGCACCAGTGTGTTGGAATCATGGAAGTGTCTTCTGCAAAATTAGGAGCATGAAAAATGTGCAAGCTGCGCTCGAAAACGATATCGAGGCAGAAATCAGATTAGAACCTCGCCATCTACCACACAAGAAGCAAAGCATGCGAGAAGAGAGCCTGACAGCCGCTTTGGGCAACTGGGACAAGCTCAACATCCTTAGCTTTCTTTGGGAAATACACACAAACTATTAGATCATATTCAACAAACAAAGAATTCCTCTGGCAGAACAAATGTTTCTTCCACTTTCTCAATCTAGAACCCTGTAGGTTCGTGTTGAACATAATATTTTGGAATTGTTTGGTCTCTGGTACCGGGTGATTCGGCTAATAGAGATTTCGGCGGTTTGTTCTTTCAGCATTTCGATAATGCATCCTTTCAATTTTTGGGTGTCCCAAGCGAGTGCAATGTTCTCTGGTCAAAACAATCAAAAACTTGAGAACGATGACATAGGCACAGATTGCTGTTGAGTCCATGGATGCCACTACGTCTTTCCTCTAGAAGGCAAGTGGAGACTTATATTCCAACCCTATCGGCAAAAGTCATATTCTTTACTCCAGTATCCAAATTGTCAGAAGGGGCTTTAGACGGTGTTTGCATGCTTTTTGGTCAAGAAACTACACAAAAAGGCAGTCATTGAAGGCTCATTGCTCTGGTTCGTGCACCGTTTACAATGCAATGGCAATGCGAACTAGAAACCTTCCATTCGCCCAGCGATGCAAAGTATCCCCCCTCCCCCCCCCCACACACACACACCAGCAATGTAAAACACCCCCCTGAAACAAATTTCTGGCTATGCCACTGCAGGCCATGCACTCAAAAAAAAATTTCCTCCTTCCCATACTATAATTGTCAAGGCAGTGCAGCCATATGGGGGGCGTACCATACTGATTTACGATTTATTTTTCCGCAGATATTGTCCACTTAGGGGTCGGTAGGTGTGTCGACCTCCTCAACGTAGTCCCCCTGGAGACGAACGCACTGGTTCTAGTAGTGTGGCAGCCTTTCCGTTCCGAGACCACTCTTTGGGAGTGCTTCGCACCCACGCCTGGACAGCCGCTTCGAGTTCACCAGTGTCCATGAAATAGGGTCCTCATAGGTGGTTTTTTTCATGGTGCTGAATGGCTGATGGTCACTGCGGGCTAGGTTGAGGGAGTACGGTGAATGTAGGGATGGGCATTGTCATGCTGCAAGAGCGTACCTGCCGCCCCTTTCCCTGGCAGCTTCTTGTGAATCGCGCAATCACCTGAGGGTAGCCACATACGGGGCGATGTTGATGGTGGTGGCCGGTTACATGCAGTCAATGAGCATAATGCCCTCCGTATTCAGAAAGCCACGCGAGGATGTCTTTGCGGACATTGATGACTCGGAGGCATCTGTCCAGGCGTGGCTGAGACACACTTATAAACAGTGCAGGAATGTGATTGCTGCGCCAATTGCGCCAAACTGCACCAAGGGGCTAACTTTGCTACATCCTGCTACATTTCACCGAAATATGGCTAATCCGTGCCAAGCCTGCGCCAAAGAAGCAATTTTGGTCGCCTTTCATAAACGAAACGAAACTGAGAACCGTAATTGAGCATGCGTAAGCTAGGTCGCACAAGACGCCACCCGACACAAAGTACCCTGTATTAATCGTCTATTTGGTCTTGCATGATTTTTCCCCACGTCTCGCGTTTCGTGCACTCGTCGTCTCAGGAATCTCGTCTCGCGTCTTTTTTTTTTTTTAGCGGTAGACACGGGCGTGTGTGGACTCTCAGACGTTAGTGTATCGGGTGCCAAACATGCCGTCATGCTGTGAGACAAAACCACGTTTTTGCGCGGCGGGAGTTACTTTTTGAGCTGAAGCGCTCGCGCGACGTCGTGTGTTGCCGTCCCCACGTCGCTGCAGATATGGCGCTTACTAAACTGAAACGCATCGACATTCCTGCTCTTGTTTAAATCATACGCTGCTATAAAAATCCCTCTCTAACTCAATGACTGCTTGGCAAAGTTTTGATTACTTAGGTTTTTCCTGGTGGGCTTTCTTTCGAGAGGGACCCCGGTACGTGAAAAATCTGCCGCAAAAGAAAGTTGGTGAAGAGAAGTGAGCTAAAGCAAAGAAGGCAATGTCTGCACGCTGAACCCGCACAGCGTGCTTGTTTGTCTCGAGTTCAGTCGTTGCACGAAGCGCTCCAAGAACTTTTTTGACCTTGATTCGCAGTGTCTTGCATCGATACGCTCAGGTTCTTTTTTTCTGTGTGTTTAGCCTGTACCTCGCCTGCCGGCCTGGCAAGCACAAGTCGCTGGACTGTTTATTGTCGTATGCTGGACAGTTACATTTTGCATACTATTTTGGGAACCATGCAGTTGGCGACGGAGCGCGGAGTGGCATGGTTTCGGTTTCGGTCGAACAGCCGTTGTCTCCGCCCGCGCGACGAAGCACGTGTAACTGCAAGCCTGCCGAAGTTGCCCTTACGTGCATGTGAACATCATTGCAACAAAGGCACCAGCCGGGACGCTTGCAATGCGTTGTTTTACGTTTGCTTACTTTTTTTATAAAAATCTGCCACGTCAAGAATTTTGGCGGTGCCAGAAGAGTCCATGTGCGTATGGCAGCTGCCTAATTTGCTGTGCCAAGAGCTGCACAATAGTTTGTGCTCACTTGATTGTCACAAGGGGGGACGCCACAACAGCCACACTTGCATCTGCTCGTTTTCTCTGTCGTAACTTTGCCGGCATCTGACAGCATGACACTTTGGCTCCCGTAACATATTTTGTTGCCACTTTGGGACGGCTTTTGGTCCATGGGAGGTATATAGGGCAGTAAACACCCCAGTCAGAGACATGTCAAGGCGTCCTGCCCTCCAATCCTTCCTAGCTTCGATCCCTTAATCCCCTGATCTAGTTGAAAAGCCAAAATCTCAAGGTGGGGTGATAATTATTGGGTGTCTGGGTCTTGATTTACACTATTTTTGGATGCAGATACCAGACACCCTGAAGCCGGTGGATGATCATCTCGACATGTTCCTTGTGGTGCCAGCAACACTTGCACCGCTGGTGTGGCATTCTTTGCACGCTATGCTGGGATAGTTTTTTAGGAGTGCCATGTCTGGACAGCTTATTCAGAAGCAGGCTGTCGTCGTCGAGATCCATGCTTTTTTTTTTAACGGATGATGTTGCAGTGCCCACATGGGTGAGTATGACAGAAAGGATTCGAGATTGGAATAGGTCACCAAACAGTATCGCATCATTTTTCGTTAAAATATTTTTCTAACAACACTATTCATTGAAATAAACACTGAAATTCAAAGTTTCTCGTGCAAGAATGGGGAGGCCTGGGGGTGCTCATATGTATCCCCACTACTCTGATGATAGTAGTGTCACCTCTAAATCAACACAGCATAATGGAAGACATATCGCAGTCTAAAACGGGAAAAAATGTTGATATATGTGTCTTGCAGATGCGTATATGACCAAATAGCAAATGATTGCGGTGCCCTGAGCCCTAAGGTATTCAGGACCAATAAACACATGGGGGTGGTAGCAGCTGTCATGGCAAATGGAAGCTGTCAGAATGACATGTTCGGATATTGACACGGATTGTGTCGGAGAGACATGAAATCACAACTGCTGGAGCCACTCCAGTATTGCATGAGCACTTCAGCTCGTATGTTTACACCAAAACTGTTCTGTGCGAGCTTCATAGAACACTCATGGCCAGGCTGCTATTCTCAAATCCCTAATCACCAGTACCAATGCCAAGCTTCGGCAGTGCCAGCAGCACTTTAGACAATGTTAAATTGGGACGTTCTCTGATGAGTTCACATTCCCTGGCACTTGTGTGCAGGAAGCCTTTGCAGTAGGTGTGTGCGAATATTGGTTCAAATTGAATAGTATGTTTGCCATAACCTTTGCGCTGCAAAGGGAAGCCGATGCAACCGGCTCTTTTTGCGCTGTTGATGCTAGAAACGACAGTGCACTATTTGATTCAAACCAATATTTGCACACCACTGCTTTACAGGCTTACGAATTGCACTGTTTTGTCCCAAATTAAACAACATCATATGGGGAGCTTTCCACTGTTCTGAATGAATGGCTCCCATTCCCTCTGGCCAGTGCACATAATTTTCATGTGTCCTTCCCAAAACACAGCGATGCAATATTCGTCACCAACACCAATGACAGATATTATCTACAATTGTGAACTGGGACCCTGTGAACTTATTTTATGTATCATGACCACGCAACAGATATTCCTTCCTTGTTAATTCCGGTGTATAACTGGTTGTTGTGTCGATTGGAGTTGGAGGTGCGTTAGGAGAACCAAGGCCTATAGTTTTTTTTTTTTTTTAAACTCTGGAGCATTTAGAATGAATCTACAGCAGTTCACTTCAATTTGGCTTCCATGTCTAGCCCATCCGACATGGACTGCCAAATAGGGATTCTGCTATGTGATAGCTGGAGTGGACGTAACAGAAAAGCAGAGTATGATTACATGCCTAGAGAAATGAAAACAAGTGTAGAATTTGCCAACAGAGTGATAGGCTTTGCTTCTTACATCCAATCTCTGTCATTGTTCCAGGCACTACAGATTTGCAGCCTACAGGCAGTGTGCCCTGTGGCTGTGGAGCCGCTTGGGAAAGAAGAATAGGCGGCCCCTGCCATCCTGTGTGGTCAAGACAATTAGGGGCAGGTACCCTGCTGACGTGTATGCGGGCTACAAGGATGCAGAATAAATTGCGTTGACCTAGAGACCACGCAACCCCCTTCCCTTGTCTCTTCACCCTCCCTGCATGTGTGTGAAGTCGCTCGTAGCCATGAACGGAATCCTCTAAATCACGTGACCTATTATCTACGATATCACGTGACCATAACTATGATCACATGATCGTAGTCAAACCAAAGCCAGTGCACCTACGTCACATTCAGTCACACGACGAAGCCGCCTCGGTGGCTCCGAGGCGAGAGTGCCGGCCTACGGATCCCCATGTGGCGGGTTCGAATCCCGGCCGAGGTGCCTGCAATCTGATGGAGGTATATTGCGGAGAAGGCAGCTTGGTAATCGAGCTTTCGATTGCACGTCAAAAGATCCCCAGGTGGTCGAAATTAATCCTCGGTCCTCCGCTGGGGCGTGCCAGATGCCCGTCGTTGGTTTGGCACGTAAAACCCCCAAATTTGATTTGAGTCGCACGACCGGATTGCTTCATTTTCCTCCTAGAATCCAAAGGCTGTCATCAAAACTACTAGGGCGTGAGAAGTGCTCATTTGGAACACTAACCTAAGCAGTAAAATTTGGCACCCACTAATACCATTTTAAAGTAAAGATAGAAAAAGCACCGATGTCATGTTCGCACTAACAGTGTTGTGCAGTGTACTTCTACTTTCTTCTGGATCTGTTCTTTCAAATGGAAAAACTGCATATAACATGGAAAAATCTGACTGCATGAAGCTACAAGATGCTTCCCTACATCAGCCGTCTGAGCGTGCCGGTGCGATGAGGCGAAGAAAGGCGAATTGCGATTGCTGCAGTTTTCAGAGGGACGTGGTCGATTGTTCCGAGGGTCTGGATGACGACGTGGCTAACATGACAAACAAATGACGTTCTGCTTGGGTGACTATAGTCCACTTCAATGCAGCGAACGACGGAGAGGAGGTCGCCTCCTCTCCAGCATTCGCTCTACTAAAGTGGAAAGAGGTGGGAGGAGCTTCCACTTCGTTCTTGACCTGTCACCGACTATAGGCATGCTGTAAATTGTATTACTTTTTTTATTTAGAATTCATTGCCAACCTACATTTCATTACTGTACTCTCAACATGTGCTCTAGTATAGACTTTTCCAGTCCAAGCCTTCTGCGAAATCCTTTTTTTACTTGGCTGTGGAATGCTTTTTGAGCATGCACAATAGATCCCCTGCATGGAATATTCTATGCCTCCACAGCCCAGTTACCCTGGATTTTTCCTCCCGGTGGTAAATAGGATCTGCTTATATATTTCAGTGAATACTACGATTGTTAGTTTATATTGTCGTTATAATTGGCAAATATACCCTCACATCATGCAAATACTTTGAGGAAATGGCACAATTTCGGTCGGGTTTTTAGTTAGGCATAGTGCAGTATTCTAGTTACATCGACCCATGTATTGACCTCACAATGCAGAAATCATCCAGGGGATCACAAAATTAGTACTACCATCGGCATCACTTGTTTTCAATTATGAAATTATTTCCTTTTGGTCATGCAAATTTCTACACCTTCCAGGTTCTGGTACCGAGAAGTCAAGTTGTTGGAAAATGAATGCAGTTTATTTCAATCGTAAGGTTAGCGAATGTGCCTCACTTATTTGCAAGCAGGTCAATAATGACAGAAGACAAATGTTGCAGACGGGGGGAAAACCGTGGTGTAGACTGGAAAATGCAGCACTGTTTTTAAATTGCCATAAAAAACTTCTGTTAATATTTCCAGTGTTATATGCAACCACCCCACTTATGTTATTGCTGCATTACCAGCCTACCTCCTGGATGAAAACCCCATTTATTGGAAACACGGGCGGGCTGCCCCGCCTCGGTGCAGTCTCCACAGCATGTCCGCTCATCAGCACATGAAAAGAAAGATGGATAAGGCATTGTGTTACAGTCTTCAGAAAAGTGTCGGTTGGGTTCCGAAAATACTTTAATTTTCTAAAACTGCTGCGATGGGCTAAGCTTGTGAACTGGGGATGGGATCTCTGGTGCAGAACTACATGCTATTCAAAATAGCACTTGATCCGCCTTCATTGTGGTGTGCCCACAATGAATATGACAATACGGTCACCGATTTCCTCGATCTTGAAAGCTTGCACAAATTATAGCTAGGATCCTGCGTTCTTGAATTTAATTTTTTTTTTTTAGCAAAATTAGAGGGTGTTTTTTTTGTTTTGTTTTTTTGAACCATCAATTTGGAGCTTCCATTTATGTACGCAAAGTTCGGAGTCTTTCGGCATTTTCGATGAGGCAAATGAAAGGTAGAAAACAGCACTTTGTGAATTTAGTAAAGCAGTATTTTCATATGAGAGCGCCGTATTCATCTACTGTCGTAGAGGGCCTACCTCATTTTTATTATAAGGGGCTACATGGCAACGGAAGTTGACACTGCAATAAGAGGAGAATTGCAAAAATTGTTCGAAGATTCCGGGAAATATAAAGACTGGTGGGGGACCGAAAAATTGAGTTTTTCAAATGAATCTGAATCAGCAAAATTTTAACGGCTAGGGTTTTTTGGAGTTTATCAGGTTTATCTGAGAACGCAGAACCCTAATTACAGCTAATGGACTGGGAAGAATTATAGCACTGGCCTGTCCTCATCTCCTAATGCCTCTACTGTTGGCACTGATGTGCCAACAATAGAGGTGCACCTTGCTGGGCTTGAAAAATCCGGCTTGAGAGGGCAGGTGCCAATGCTTGCATCTCTCCATTACGCTTGATCGTGGCCCTAAAATCAAGCATTATCAATAGAGGAGATCTGCATTTCTGTGAAAAATGATTGCAGACAGATCTAATGTCCTCCTTACTGTCGGTCAGGGTGTCCTAACGGAAAACAATGATCTATTTTGCAGCTCGGCTGTTTTCTCTTGGGTCTGTCTGCTTGCATTCGCAGTACGTTCTGCAAAACAAAGCGGTTATTGCCTACCATGGTAGTTTTCATTAGGACGAGGCTCCTGTGTGCTTACCACTGGCAGCATGAAAGATAGAACCAGGTCTTTGCTTCCTGCTGCTGTCCACCTCGTTGACAGACTTTCCAGCCAACAGTGAAAATTCAGACTTGCATAATTACATTCCTAGACATTCCAAGTTGGGCTAGATGGGCGTTCACACTGAAGTTAGTGTCGTCCTCACCGCAAGTTGAGCTGTAGCCTTGAGTCTCGCTGTTTGGTGACTTTTCTGTGAGTCTGACATTGCCACCGGCTAAAGTTCCTTGCCCTCTTTTGAGATAGGCATGCCATGACCAGCTTGATTAGGCCCTAAAATGGAACATTTTCATGAGGAGAGATCTGTATTTCTGTGAAAAATGATTGCAGACATATCTAATGTCCTCCTTACTGTCGGTCAGGGTGTCCTAACGGAAAACGATGATCCATTTTGCAGCTCGGCTGTTTTCTCTTGGGTCTGTCTGCTTGCATTCGCCGTACGTTCTGCAAAACAAAGCGGTTATTGCCTACCATGGTAGTTTTCATTAGGACGAGGCTCCTGTGTGCTTACCACTGGCAGCATGAAAGATCCAACCAGGTCTTTGCTCCCTGCTGCTGTCCGCCTCGTTGACAGACTTTCCAACCTACAGTGAAAATTCAGACTGTTGCATAATTACATTCCTAGACATTCCAAGTTGGGCTAGATGGGCGTTCACACTGAAGTTAGTGTCGTCCTCACCGCAAGTTGAGCTGTAGCCTTGAATCTCGCTGTTTTGTGACTTTTCTGTACTTCGACATTGCCACCGGCTAAAGTTACTTGCCCTCTTTTGAGATAGGCATGCCATGACCAGCTTGATTAGGCCCTAAAATGGAACATTCTCATGAGGAGAGATCTGTATTTCTGTGAAAAATGATTGCGGACAGATCTAATGTCCTCCTTACTGTCGGTCAGGGTGTCCTAACGGAAAACGATGATCCATTTTGCAGCTTGGCTGTTTTCTCTTGGGTCTGTCTGCTTGCATTCGCCGTACGTTCTGCAAAACAAAGCGGTTATTGCCTACCATGGTAGTTTTCATTAGGACGAGGCTCCTGTGTGCTTACCACTGGCAGCATGAAAGATCCAACCAGGTCTTTGCTGCCTGCTGCTGTCCGCCTCGTTGACAGACTTTCCAACCTACAGTGACAATTCAGACGGTTGCATAATTACATTCCTAGACATTCCAAGTTGGGCTAGATGGGCGTTCACACTGAAGTTAGTGTCGTCCTCACCGCAAGTTGAGCTGTAGCCTTGAGTCTCGCTGTTTGGTGACTTTTCTGTGACTCCGACATTGCCACCGGCTAAAGTTCCTTGCCCTGTTTCGAGATAGGCATGCCATGACCAGCTTGATTAGGCCCTAAAATGGAACATTCTCATGAGGAGAGATCTGCATTTCTGTGAAAAATGATTGCAGACAGATCTAACTTCCTCCTTACTGTCGGTCAGGGTGTCCTAATGGAAAATGGTGAACCATTTTGCAGCTCGGCTGTTTTCTCTTGGGTCTGTCTGCTTGCATTCGCCGTACGTCCTGCAAAACAAAGCGGTTGCTTACCATGCAAGGCTGTATTAGGACCAGGGTGTAAGATAGACAGGTGGGGAAACGAGAGCCAAATGAGCGACCGGATTGTGTACCCCTCGGTTTTCTTTTTTTCTGTGGCGCCATCGATGTGGAGCACCGCAAACTCTCACTCCAGGTGGGCGACTGGCTAAACTGACGGAGATGGTTTCTCGTGGATTTTCAATAAAGACTGTCGTGCTCTCTGTTTATTTTGCGCACTCTCCCATAAAGTTCCATGCAAATCCGATTCCGATTTTTTTCCTCTCGCCGCAGCGCCATCTGTTGCAAATCGGGGGTACCCGCAAGCAGACGAGTACACAATCCGGTCACGGCGCTGCGGTAGGCTTCTATGGGCCGTTTCCCCACCTGCTTATCCTGCACCCTGATTAGGACCAAGGTCCTGTGTGCTTACCTGCGGCAGCATGGAAGTCCCGACCAGGGATTTGATGCCGTTACTGGGGACTGTGGCCGAACCTGGACATTCGTGCTGCCACGAGTTCCTCTTTTGGAGGCCTTGTGTAGGCTGCAGTCATCGGTGCCGGGAAGACGACGGTGTTGGCCCTCGATGCAGCAGCCAGGGACCGCCACTGTTTGCTGCTCTCCATTGCCTCCTTGATGAGCTTTCCAACATACTCTAGAAT